CCAGAAGCTTCCTATGCCAGCATCCACATTGTCAGTAAACGTTCTACACAGCACTGGGTCCAGATCAGGCCCCCATGGGACTCCACTCAAAATCTCCTGCCACCCTGACATGGATCTGTTAATAACTGCCCTTTACTTGCAGCTATTGAGCCAGTTGTCTATCTGTCTTTTGAGTAGCTTTGACCAGCCCATGTTTCTTCAACTTGTTTATGAGAAGATCATGCAGGACCTCAATAACAGCCTGGCTGAAGTTCAGATGCATGATACCCACAGCAGGCCCTTCATCCACATCAGTATTTACTTTGTCAAAAAAGGAGGTTGGGTTTGTTTGCTCTAGTAACTTTCCAGGTATCAAGGTGAGGCTAACCAGTCTAGTTCTCCAGGTCCTTCTTGCCTTTCTTCAAGAGGGGCACTATGTCCACCTTTCCCAATCCTTTGATATGCGGCCTATCTTCCACAACTTCATGAAGATAATTGCCAGATCCAAGATCTCTGCCAGTTCCTTCAGTACTCTGGAATGAGGCTTATCTGGCCCTACTGATTTGAATTCACTCAGACCCATCAAAAGCTTTCTGACTGTCTCTTCTGTTATCTCCTTCCTCAGCTTGCCGCTTCCTTACCTAGACAATCCGTTTTAGGTGTCTGGCTTCAGCTTCTTCCTTTTTTGTGAAGACTGAAGCAAAGTAGCTGTTTAGCAGCTCCACCTTCGTAGTTTCATCATTTCATAGATTTAGGATCAGAAGAGATCTATTAGATCGTTGAGTTCGACCCCCTGCCCTGGGCAGGAAAGTGCTGGAGTCAGGTGACCCCAGCCAGGTGTCTGTCCAATCTCCTTTTAAATACCTCCAAGGAAGGGGGTAGCACCACCTCCCTTGGAAGTGTATTCCATATTTTGGCAACCCTCACTGTAAGAGTTTTTTCCTGATGCCCAATCTGAATTTGCTGTCTTACAGTTTGTGGCCATTATTTCTCGTTACCCCAATGGGCGCCTTGCTAAACATTGTAACTCCTATATCTCGTCAAAGAGTTTGTAGGTGGCCATAAGATCACCTCTCAGCCTCCTCTTGTGGAGGCTGAAGAGGTTCAGGTGTCCCAGTTGGTCCATGTATGGTTTTTTTTCCGTAAGCCTTTAACCAGATGAGTGACTGGGTTGAGAGAAAAGGTGGTGTCACTTTGTGTCGAACGCAGATACTCTTGTTCCCTGGTTCAAGAGGAAGAAGATGGCAAAGCAGAATGCATCAGGGTAAAGATGAAAGGTGAAAGATGCGGCACCAATGTAATGGTGGGAAATTTTTGTAGGCCACCCAAACAGGTTCCCTGATGCAATGCAGTGTGCATCCCCATGCTTCCAACCTTTCCATCTTTCCCACCAGAGCAGACGCCAGCTTACACCTGGTACAGTTGAAGTGGTCTTGGCCCTCCATGAGGAGCAGGACCATGGCACATCCTATGCAGGTCACAGCTGCTGATCCTGCCTTTGTTTGGGCCTCCTGTGCTTCCAGAAAAGCCTCTTTGCAGCAGCCGCACTGAGCTGCTTTTCTCACCCTGTTTGCTGCCCTCTCTTCACCCCCTTCCTCTGCTTGCCCACGCTGCCTGCCTGCAGCCTAGTGCCACTCCCTTCTGCCCACATCTCACACTAACATCCTGCTCGCACACCAGTCCTCGCTGTCACCACCATGCTCCCCAGCTGTTTGCCCCCTCCCTCCACCACCCCTTCTGCCTGGCTCCCATGGCCTGCCCTGCAGCTCTTCCCAGGCTGTCTGCTCTCCCTGGCCCTGCCTTGCCTGGGGGCACTGGGTGATGGCTGCTTGTGCCCTACACTGACTCTCCTTCGTGCCTCTACCCCCTGCAGCCTTCATGACCATGGTGCTGATTTTCCTTCACACCTTCTGGGGGATCCTCTTCTTCCATGGCTGTGAGACCCGGCACTGGTGGGAGATTGTGGCTGTCGTCCTCACGCACCTCCTTGTCTCGGGGCTGGTGAGTCCAGGAGCTGCTTGCGGGGGCTGCTTCCCAGCCTGGTGCACCCCTTGACTGGCCTGGCCAGGGGCAGGGACATGCCAAGGGGAAGTGGGTTGGACAGTTCTGTGCTAGGGATTCACCCAGGAGCTGAGGCACTTGGTGTGTAGGTGCCAGCCTAGTGCAGGCGGCTTACTCTCCCCAGGAAACAAGGGGTTTCCCTGTGGCCCCAGGGCCCTATACGAGCACCAAGGGTCCTCTGTCACATCCAGACAGTGAAGCCAGAGGGCAAGATGCTGCTGCCTTGACCCTGCTCCAGGGGGTCTGGCAGGGCATGGGGCCCAGCCTGCTGCTTGGGACAGCCTCCCAGGATGCCTGGGGACCCTGCTGCTGTGCCCCTGGCCCAGGGCTTTCCTGAGCACCTGCCCTCATTCCTCTCCTCTCCTCTCCTCTCCTCCTGCCCAGACCTTCTTCAACCCACTGTACGTGGGCAGCCTGGTCCCTGCCTACCTGCTGATGGTCGCCACAGCCGCCTGGGCCTACCTGCTGTCAGGAGGCTCCGCTCAGAACCTGCGTCGCTTCCTGCTGTGTGAGTGCAGCTGCCCCCAGCCCTGCTCTGCCTGGCCTGACAGGGCCCTGCCCCAGAGGGGATGGGTTGCAGGGGTGCGGCATCATCCCGTTCCCAATGACTGCCTCTATGTTGGTGGGGAGGGAGGGAGCAGGCACAGCCTGAACGAAGATGCAGGGCAGGGCAGGCCAGTGGAAGCCTGCTCTGAGCTCCAGTGTAAGCAGTGGGTTGCTCCCTGTCCCAAGCAGGGACTGCCCTTCTTGGTGTTCACTGCAGAAAGATGCTGCTCCCGGCCCTGGCAGGTGGTGAGGAGGGGGCTGGGTGGGATGGGGTAGCCAAGTGAGCACTCACCAGCAGCCTCTGCCTCCCCACAGGCCTGCAGAGTGGGATGACCCCACAGATGGGATCCTGAGGCCCTGCTGCGCTTGTCCCAGAGCTGGCCCCTCCCCTGGGCACTGGGGGCCTGGACTGCAGCTGCCTCCTCTACACTCTGCCTTGGGATCTGGGCCTGGAGGTGGCACTTGGGCCCCTCGCCTGGGAGCAGCCAGGGAATGTGAG